CAGCAGCTGCTGGGCTCAGGCTGAGGCTGCTGTTTGGTATTATTTTATTTTTTTGGAAATTACGAGAATAAAGTCATAATATTACGAGAATAAAGTTGTTATATTACGAGAATAAAGTCATTATATTACAAGAATAAAGTCGTAATATTACGAGAATAAAGTCGTTATATTACGAAAATACAGTAAAATATTTTTTTCTCTTAGTATGGCCCTAATACTGAGCATCATTAGGGATGAACATTTATGAAACATAAGAACTTAAACATTTTTAAAATAATTTTATGTAAAAATTCTCTCTTTTGAGTCTGAAATAAAGTTTGAAAAAAACGGCACTGAAGCCAATAAAAGTTTGACAAAACAATGTAAAAGTTATTCTTGATGTTAGAAATAGTTTGACAAAACATTTCCAACTGAGGATCCACTTAAGTGACTTAGAGTTTGTTAAAAAATGTGTATAAACTGTAATAAAATTGTGCTGATGAAATGAAAGCTGGAGGAAAAGCTATAAAATAGATCTTGAGTTGTAATTGTTTTGTCAGACTACTTTTTCCAAGGTCAGGCGTGAACTTCAAAACTTATTGAAGCTGTTGATACAATTTCTTTTTGTTTTTATAGGCAGTTTAATTCAGATTTTCAGCAGTTAGTTCACCGTTTACAGCATTTAGGCTCATGTGAACCCTGAGTTTTGATGGTGTTTGATGGGTTTTATCACAAACATTCGATTTTCTTAAGTTTTATCTTATTATTTTGTTGAGATTTGTACATCTAATAAGTTCATGTGTACATTTTATACATGGATCTGGATGATTATATCATATTTGATGGTGATTGAACTGATTAGTAACAGTTAATAGTTTTAAAGTTTGTGTACCTGTTGTGGCCACAAGGTGTCCCTGTAAGACAGGAGGAGATGATCACAACTTTCCACCTTACTTTTGACATTATCAGTAGACAGTAAACTTCATTGAATTGAATGGAAAAACTATCTCAAAAATGTGTTTTATGAAGAAAAATATCAGCTGAATTAACATAAATGATCCTACAATACAAACAGGATGTTATTACAAAAGTCTATTTTATGTGCAGTGGGAACATTTGATCCCCACTTCAATTTTATTTGTATAGTGCCAAATCATAACAGAAGATACCTCAGGGCATTTTTAATATAGTGCATGTCTAGACTGTACTTCTTATAAAATTACAATGATAACTGAATCATTGCTTAAACCACACATTGTTTGTAGTACAACCCAGTGGCTGTCAGGTGAGTCAAGGACAAAGACCAGAGAGTTTATTTTCAAGCTTCTGTCTGTTTCAAAGAAGAACTGAACAAGTAACCTCTGTGAGTCCAACCTTGACCTCAGGTCATGGCATCAAAGCTGAAGGGAACAAATTGGCAGGTATGCATCGCCAATACCTGGGACCTGACAACAGGTAAACAGGTATCAATACAAAACATGTTTACTAGGTGTTTGGATGGAGGTGCAGCAGTTTCTCAGCTGAATTAAAACTTTGTAATTTGCAGGCTGGCGTCTGACATCCTGGGACAGCACAGCAGGTGTAGAGAGGGTCCTATACATTCAGTACTGTGTGTGTGTATGTGTAAACTCTATTTCCTACATTTCCTTCTGACCAGGGTGGTGACAGGAAGCCTGTGGTCATTTCCAGTCTGCCGCTGTTAACACAAGCCAAAGGTCACATTTGTCACATCCATTTGCCACATTACCTGACCCCTGCAGTCACTTTACACTGCCCCGACACACAGACCCCTTCCTTTCACACACTTTCACAGATGAATGTTGTGTTTCATATGTCAGCTCTCTAAGTTTTTGTTATGCCTAAAGTATTAGAAACTCTAAGTTGATAATTAAAATGATTTTACAGACTGCAAAAGAGTTACAGGAAGGTATTTAAACAAGTTTTTACTGGCAGCGATTTTCCTCAAACGCCGACTGCTCTCAAAACTTTCTATAAGCTTTACCAACTTTCCAACAACAGACACGTTTCACACAACCACACTGTATTTTCCTGGCACTGTCAGCTTCATTGTTCACGAATGTGTGTCAGAGAAAGAGAGAGAGAGAGAAAGAGACCTTGTGCATACAGTGACCCACTGACCTAGTCATAGTGGCTGTAAGCCATGTGCTCCATCATGAAATATCCTCCCTTGGGCCTCCGACAACAGTATGATCGAGACAACTTGTCAAAGCATCGGAAAAGAGCCCAATACAAAGATTATAGCAGAGTTTGGGATTTATCTACTGATGAAGTTGCAGATTACAACCATTTGAATACAGCTCAGCCTTTCAAGCGAGGAAACTACAGTGGCCTCGTGAAAAACACAAAAGGCCCAATCTAGAGCCAGAGTTTGGTTTGTTTGCTCTGGGCTACTGTAGAAACATGGTAGTTCAACATGGAAGACCCGCTCCCTCTGTAGAAAGAAAAAGTCTATAAAAAACCCCCCACAATTATTCAGATTTTAGGTGATAATACACGAAAGATATTATTATTATGTTATGTTATGTTATGTCTTAATAGGTTGTATACATTGTTTTTAAAGAGGGGTTGGTGTGGTCACATTGGACTGTGACACTGAGAAAAGCCCTAATAAATATACAAAATGAGAACTTTAAAAGATTACATATTCCTTGTTGCTTCCTCATGACATATGATATTAATAACAAAGCTTGTCACAGCACCCCAAAGGCTGTTGTGCACATATAAAACGGGTGAGAAGCACTTTACTCTCTTATGTAAAGGCCATAATTAATAATGTGCGTGGGAGCGCTGACACCTCCCTCTAACTGTAAGACCTGTGGTCTCAAACCGCTAGTGATTAACGATTACAGGCAATAAAAAATAAAATAGAGTTGGTAAATGCACTTTTATTACAATCCACATGTGCTGGTTGCTTCAAATGGAAAGCGAAATGGGACAAACAGAGCAAAGTAATACAGTGATACTTTCAGACCAAACCACAGTACAAAAAGGGCATCAATATGTACAATATATCCATGTACAAAAAAGCTATTTTACACGCAGGTATGAAAAAATCATACATCTTTGACAAACTGTAGTATTACAGAGACAATACAGGCAACAGTGTATAGGTTTAAAACAGTTTTTGAAAAAGGCTTTAAAGCCTTTGGAGCAGGAGTACGCAAGTATTTCAACTTTGTTTTCTTTTCCTAAAGTAAACCGACTCTGTCCCTCCTTTTTACTCACATACACTCATAA